TCAGGAAAAAAGAGAAATTTTTTTTTTTTTTTGGGGGGGGGATGGGGGACCCCCGAACGAGCTTCGTTTTTGGGGCCCATTTTTGCGTTTTTGGGGGGGCTTTTAAGGCGGGGAAAAAAAGGTTTTCGACGCCCCGAAGGGAGAGCGAATTTTTTCCGACAAAGCTTCGGGGCGGACCGAAAGTTTTGGGCCGAAACACGCCGCCGGGCCCGTTGCCACGGTGGGCCCCCCGCTCGCCTCCCAGCCCAGCCGGCGGGTCCCCCCCATCGAAAAGCCTCAGGTAAAAAGCGTTTTACTTGTGGCAACGAATCAACTAAAGCCTTGCGCCCACTGCGTTATTGTAATAGAAACTTTTTTGGTGACATATGTTTCAATCATTTAAACTTTTAATGCACAAAAGAGTTTTTCTTCGAACCATTCTTCCAATGCAGGCCGTCAAACCCTGGAAAGCCCAAATTCACGAGAATGTACCCGTCCCCTTCAATATCATTTCATTGTCCCGTGGAGAGTTACGCGGTTTCCCCAAGTACGTCACAATATAATATATATATACATATATATATATATATATAATAATATATATATATATATAAATATATATAGTGGCCGTTGCCCAAATCGGCGGTAATGTATTAATGATAAAATATAATAAAATAAATAAATTACAATTAATAATATATAATGATAACCGATTTTGCATGTTACTCTAACAGTAATATTACTGCAAATTACCTGCACATAAACATGTGATATTGGTGTAAAAATGTTGATAATTCTGCACTTGTAGGTTACCAAGTGCAGAAAAATAGGTTTCATAATTAATTGGTTTTTTAGTTGTACAGTATTATAAAATCCCTTTCTTTACACAACGAAATTTAATTTCTTTGTTTATATTTTCTCTCCATCCTCGGAATTGTTCGCATTATCGAAATTTCGGAATAGCGGGGGGTTTCGTATTAGCGTAGGTTTTCCCTAAACACACACATCACACACACAGATATATAATTATGTAATAAATCATTGCAGATTAACAGAAAAAGGTGACACAGGACTCGAAAGGTTGTACCGTAGGCAGGTATTAATAAAAATAATGTATAAACTTGAATTCTTTAAATAAATAGTTTATTCATTAAACTATTCTGGTCTAAAATTAGAGGTGCACTTAGACATCTCTGAATGTTGTACAAACAGGACAATAATTATTTTCAAAGTTATTCTTTCTATTGTAACGATTAGCCGCGTCCTCGTGGCAATCTAATTTGGGGACCGCTGGCAGAGGATCAGCCTTGCCACAGGAAGAAGGGTTTCTTTCCGTAAAGGAAAGAAACGCGGAATCGGGAGACACCAGGCTTTGGGATTCGATTATAGATAGCTTTTCATTGTTTATAACAAGGCGAAGGGGTGGCGTGAGTAGTAGGTCACGTGGGCCTCGCCTATATAACTGAAGTGTACAGAGTCAGTGGGGGATTCTGGAGACGGTGGGAGAACCTCGTGCGTGGGCAAAAACTTGGCGCCAAGACGGTGCAATAGCGAGCCAGGCTTCGGCGAAGGCTGGAGTCATTAAGTTAACGAAGCCTGCGACTTTCATGTCCTTGGGTGACTGCGGTCACGCGGGGGAAGGATGCTGTGTGCGTGCTCCGAGGTGAAGAGTGGTTGAGTTGCCACGATTCACGCCGATCTCAATCGATAAGGATCGGCTCCTGCGGATCGAGCAACCCCACCGGTTGGTGGCACCAGAACGGACTTTGTGTCCCAGCGTGACATCCGGTCACGGAAGCTAGGCTTTGTGCGCGCTTCAAAGTAGGATGGCGAATGCCACAACTCAAAACATCTTCAATCGGGTTTTTGGATGCTCCCGCGATCAGGGTATAGTAGGTCTAATCAGAGCTGGGTGTAAGTAGATATTAAGTGTTATATATATATATATAGGCTATAGAACTGTGGAAGAATTCGAGGCTTGTGCTTGAAACGTTGATAATAAAGACCAATAAAACGATAAATTCTGCAACAGAGTCAAATAAATTTACATCTACGTAAAATAGTGCCCGACAAAACTTAAGCCATTTTGCTAATTGATGACAATACAAATTTTCAAGCGAATGGAACTATTTTATTTTAATACGTCATCCACCTCTCGTTTTCAAAGACGGTTCCTTCTCCGGTCTTCCCAGCATTTATGACAAAAACTGTTTACTTCTTTCTACTCGCCCTAATAACATTGTTCTCTAGTGCTGAGTTTGAGGTTATGTACATCATTCTCAATTTAGATGAGAATTATCTTCAGTTTTCTTTTACATTTCATAGTGATCAATTTGGGTACAGATACTATTACCATTCTACCTGTGTTTAACCAATCATATAATCTGTACATACATAGGTGTTAAATATACAAGAGCTTGATGTAAAATATTTTAAAGTCCTTGAAAATTGTAAACAAGTCTTACTTTTATATTATTAGCGTTATATATATATATATATATATATATATATATATATATATATATATAATCATATAATAAATAAATGCAGATGTACTAGTAGATGAGGCGACACATCTCGAAACGTACCGTGTAAAGTGCTTAATTAAAAATAATTTTTAAACACAAAACGCTTTGAATTAATAGTTTCTTTTAACATGTATTGAACCTGAGCTTTTGGGGCAATGACTCACCATCTCGATTAGGTTTTCGTACATTTTCTCTAAGTCTTCTATTCTTATATTCTTCTCAAATATCCTTGGTTTTTCTTATGAATATAAATGTTGGATAGTTGAAATCGACATACCCTGAAGCCGGCAAACGCCACAGGAAGAAGAAGACCCTGTAAAAATTGTAACAAAGAAACTGAAGGAACTTTTAGTTCAAATTTTCGAGTACACTTTGCTCAAGGGTTGAAAAAGACAACATTTATGTATGAAAATACAATAAAATCGTTGCCAAAAAATGAGTCATTAATTAGTCAGTCATTAATTTAAAAATGAGTCATGATTTATTTCACAATCGTTGTGTACAACAACTCATATTTATGTAGCACGTGATTTTGTTGGGGATCAGTAATCAACAAGTGGTGCTACAGAATGGTACAGACATTCTCGTATTAGTTTTCTTTTTCCTTTCGTCTCGGCTAGCTATTCGAACTTGCCACATACGAACTCTTGCCTGTTGCCGCCCAAAGTACGGTTTTTGATATTTTCTTAATTTTTCGGTTTCCTAATAATAAAACAGAATATTACTTTAAGAATATTAAAAAAACAGTAAAACCTAACTCTAAATGGCAAATTTTCTTTGAAAACTTGGAGCCGTTTTTAGAAAATGGCACTCAGCGCTACAGTAAAATCGAAATTTGAAGCGCTTTTTCACAGAAAATTGTTGAGTTTTAGAAAAACTCCTTTTGAAGAACTTAAACTCACATTAACTCACAAATATGACAGTGTTCACAAATTGCTGGAAATGTACATATTACTGGCGTGAGAAACTTATTAAAAAATCACATTTTGTAATTTTTGAGAGAAAAAAAGAAATACCCCGAAAAGAACTTTACGTCATATTAAAGAGTGCAATTAACACTACCCTTTCGAAAACTTTGAAAAAAAATTTAGAGCCGTTATTAACAAAACGAAAGTGTGAACCATAAAATAATAATGTGAACAAATTGCCGCTAACGTAAATATTAACGACGCGAGAGACAAGGGAAAAATAAATTTTTGTGATTTGTGAAAAAAACAAAAGAATAGAGCAATATGACGTTAATGTCATCTTATAGAGTGCGTTTAGCACAGTCCCTACCAAATTTTTGTATTTTTTAAATTGCACAAATTGCACGCAATATCGCACGAAAACTATTAAAATGTTAAAAAAATGTACAGGACCTTAACGAAAGACAAAATTATGGACAACAAATTTCATTTCAAGGAAAAATCTCTATCTTTAATTTTGTAGGTGTAGGAAGATGCGGAAAAATTCAAACTATTGAAATGTTCAAAAATTCAGAGTCAACCGTGGAAATCAGGCCTAAGCTACCATTATAAGTGTATTTTCTTATATACTTAGAAGAAATTTAAAGAAAAAAAAATCGAGCCTTTTCTGAGAAAATTTTGAAAATATTCCAGAGGCTTCTAGTAAAGTACCCTTAAAAGCTAGTGAATGATTTTCAATGCCGTAGAGCGTCAACTCAGGCAAAATGGACAGGGATTTCTTCAAATTGGAAAATATCCTAGTCATGGTTTATACGTTAGTGTTGTTCACATACACCAGACGGACACGGACGGACGGATAACGTTTTTGGTATCAAAACGTCTCTTTTTGTTGGACCCGAAAACGTGTATTTCCGTTGAAATCTCGAAATCGATTTTCCGCAGCATTACATAACTTTCGCTATACTACGTACATTACTCCGTATATGCGGGAAACATACGGGATGAAAAAAATATATCACGGGAAATTATATGTTTATTTGCAAAACCGGAAAGAAATTACTTGTGTCGCTGTTTTGCCCCGCTTTAAGTAATTCTATTAACAAAAACCACACAAATCACACAATGAGCCTATCAATGACACCAATCATCACATAGTTTCACACCTATCACAACTAAGAGTGAATGCCGGGTTAGCTCTTTATGTGCTTCAAACAGTATATGCTTATTTATTTTCTTCTTCGTTCTCATCTTCTTTCTGGACTGCTTCTTCTTTTTCTAGGCAACGTAACGGACTACAGAGTATACGCAACGACCTATAATTTTTAACGGCCACCCGAGACTCTGCATTGTATTTTAAAGAAGCTCTTTTAATCCTCGCTTGCTCGTTGCATGCTTCGCGAAGTAACATGCGATACCTCATATGCTTTATAAGCGCAAGTGCAGCGTCGAGCTTGAGATTTTTCTTGCGCATAGTTTTTTAACAACGAAGTCGAGAGTGAAGCTCAAATTACAACCTTTATATTGTCTCTGGAGCCAATTTATTCACTTCTGCCCGTGACATTGCATTTATTACCCCCTTCCCCAGGTCTACAAACTCTCTGCCAGTAGCAGCAATTTCTCCGATGCAACAATTTCTCCATCATATCCATTCCCATCATTACCGCTCACAGATCATTACATCATTACACCTCATTAAATCACCACTATCCGTTCATTCACCTGAAAATTGCCTTAACAACATGTGCATTCACTGCGCTGATAGGAAATTTCCACGAGATGATCTATTCAAAAATATTTTTCTGATTCACAATTACATTTTCGCAAAAATTTCTTGGATTCCTCATACTTCAAGTGAATGAATCTGAATGAACTAATGGATGAATTTAAATTAAGGAATAAATAAATTTATCATCGAATATTATCTGATTTGTTTTTCATTTCCTCTACTAATTTCATCGTCAGAATGTGAAAGTGTTTATTCTTGATTACCGTCCAGGCTCCCCTGACCAGAGCTGTGACCAGCAGCCGTTTCAACGGTAGCGTCTCCTCAGCCGTCGATAAGGTCCAGCTGTGCACCCTCTCTATCTCATTTTGCCATCGTTGCAGTTGTTGTGACCTATCAGTGTTACAACACAACATAAATTTCGTCTCCAACCCCTTCGCGTCCACGAACAAAATCGTTTGAACTACCACTTTAACTGTATCATCGGCACCACCATCCCCACAGCCGATGCCATCGCAGGGGTGCTCTAAGAGGCAGTTTACTGGTCGCCAAAGACCATTCGCTGGTGACTCAAGCCGCCCGTAAACAGCTTAGTAGGGATGGAGTCACCCGCACACATTTCGCGACCACTCGGTCGTTTTCTCTGTGCTTTATCTTTCCCATACTGTTTAGCGCTATTCAGTCTCTTGAATGAGCCCTTGGTCTCGACCGGCGAATATTCAAGGAACCGTCGTTAAGAACGGTGGGAAAATAAACCTCCATTCGCTTTTTGATGTCTTTCAACGCTCTGACCCAGCACACGATTAAATCAGTTAAGAGCGGGTCGTCCTGTAAAGTTAATTTTGAGTAATAGTAAATCTGTGACCGTGACGGATTGTTCCCGATATTTCATGTATGTTTCATTAAATTTTTGTTATGAGTTTAAATAACGCACTCCAGTTAACAATTTCGCAATTTATTGAAAACAGACCCAAATCGGTTTTGTGGGAATCCTGTGTGTCAATGTCTTTCAAGAAATGTTGAATCTATAAACTACGTGAGAAGACAGCAGTCGTGTAATTACTAAGTTAACACAATAACGCCAAATGTAAGAATTCATGATATCACGCGAGTTGTTTCCGTGAAATGTGATTTAAAATCAACGAAAGATAGGAATCGTTGGTTGCACTAAGATGTAAAATAGGACTGAAAAGTCTAGGTAAATACGGTTAAAATACATTACAACTGTAAAAGACAATTATCGAGAAACACAAAGATATTTTCAGAATTATCATATTTGTAATTTCCGCATAGTGAGCAGCTTGGCGCCTCAGATGCAAAATCGTTCATCTGCCAGTTTAGAAGTATAAAATTATCAGCAAATTCGATTTCTTAGTTTCTCTGCCACTTAAATTCTTAAGCTTTTCTTCAGAGACATAAACATCTGGTAGACTGTATCGTTGGATGAAAGCTCGGTGAATTCCTCGATAAAACACACGAGAACAATCGATCACAATGAAAACAGCGGCGACCCTCATCACGTACTGTATCACCGCTCTCCCTCGCCTTTGACCTTCGGACATTGATCATGAAGGCTGTTCAGAGCCTCGGCTGAACCTCGAATGCTCTGGTCGCGAGCATCCAATTCGTTAAATGGAGCGAATCGTTCATTAAAATTTTATACTTACACGATTCGCTGCGTAATAACAATAACTAACATGAATTCTTCATGTGCAGTTACCGATTCCATCCAATTTCATTCTGTTCTTTACTTGCGAGCTACGGCAGCCTGTTTGTGCACATTTCAACAAGAATGTTTTTAGTATGGAATGTCCATTAAGTGTACTGGGGGAAAAGTCTACTATTAATGATAAATGGTATTACTCAATATATTGTATAAAAAAGCAAAGCTGAAAATCCATGTTATACACTTCAACCACCTAACGTAAATGCCGTGTGTGAATGTCGAACGGACATAAAAGAGGCAGATCGACAATTTTTGCAAATGAGGATTTAAGATACATTGCATTGATTCCTAGCATGAAGAATAAATACTTTTGAGAGAATGATAGTTATTTACGATACACAAGTCGTAATGCATCTTATTAGAATACGACATTGTAAATTTGACAAATGAGGCCCTTAGTCCGAACTTGGTAACAAATTGAGTATTGTAACAAAAATGGTACGATACATGCACCGAACAACGTTTAAGTCACTTTGCGAAATTTAGTAAAATTTAATCTGAAATATTGTACTAAACGTTCATTTAATATTCACGATTTTTTCTGTAAGTAACGACACTGTTCGCAATGAGAAGAGCAGCTGAAATACTGTATTCTTTTGACACACGCTGACAGCTGTGATTCAGATTTCGAAATAGCATCAAATGCTGCATTATAAACTTTAATTCCAGAAAAATCAAGAAAGCTTATATGAGGGAGGGTATGGTTTATATAGATTGGTGTGTACAAAAAGGTATTTATTCAATTAAAATGTTAGGTTGGCTTACACGTAAGTTTGAGGAAAAAAGCGAGTAGCCTTTGAACACATTACTCAATGTAGAGGAGTACAATTTTGTTAAATGACAACATTGATGTAAGTAGTTTTACGCAGTTAGCATTTTTTGAAAGGAAAAACAAAGGTTACAAGACAAAGAATATTGAAATAGTTTCAAGATATGACGTACAAACATATTAATAATTCTTGCATTTACGTTTATGCACTAGTTTAAACTGACTGAATAGAATAGCATAAAGGTTGACTTTACCTAACCAAAGTGGATAAATGGTTTTCACTCACAAATGCAAATTATATAGTATGCAATGAATTTCTTGTACATAAAATTCCTTGCCCTATTTAAAAGAGGAAATATGTATTTTTTATCCCGCATTATGACTAGTCAACACAATATGTCTGCACATATGCCTTAATAAACTTAGTACGTTCGAAGTGACCCCTTGTAATTGCATACAAGTACGAATGATCTGATACGTTTCTGTGTTTAGTAGCACAATTTTATTAATACTTTAATCGTTCTTAAAGTGAATGGTACAAACCTCGAACTTCAAAAAGCGCTTTATGACGTAGCAGCGCGACATTTGCAAAGTTGTTAAACGCATTTACGAATGAAGACCCGAAAAAAGTCAGTTGAAATATTAATGGAGAATGTTCCCACAAATAACTGCCCCTATCTTCGTTTCTTTACAAAAATACTTAAGGGTAAAACAGGTTTTTTTAAAAAGTGTAGAAAAAATATGTTATTTAGAATTCTAGATTATAATGCTCGAGTTTTCCCCTTTGGTTTAGGACACTTGTAAATATAGAATTCAAAAATAGAACATTCTGTATCTCTATTGAAAGAAATTTCTTATTTACGTTGTCTGTGGAAGTATTTAATGAGAAATTAATGTCAGTTTATATTGTGTATTGTAGGGATAATTGAATATACGTAATAATGGCGAACAAGAACTCAGAATATTACGTAAAATCAATACTAAACAAGAAGTAAATTATTTTAGAAACTACTTGGCTCTCCGCGAGACGCGGCTTACGCCGAGCAGGTGCAAAAGTTTTGGTCCCCATTTTCCGACATTCCTCAGGGCAAAATGCATTTTAGAGGTTCTCTGGACACCTTTAACATTTGAACCACCACGCGTGCTATTTCAACATCGGAAACATTTTATTTCGTGTATTTCATTAATTTTATTTTTGTCTTGAGAGTCAGAACCCTTTTCAAGTCTTTTTCACTCTTAGATGTGTTTTTTGAGGTACTCTATGCATTTTTTTAAATCAACAAAACTATAATTTTTATTAATTTTACTTCATCCATGGATGGAGTAGGCGGACCACCACCCTCTGGCAGAGAATGTAGATATAGAATTTCGAGTGTTCTAATATTAATAATCAACTGATATTGTCGTATCGAAATCTTGCGGGAAGCAAGAATCGAGAGATCAATGCCATCTATAAATTTATATTACAAATATTGCCAAATTTTAAAGGTTGGAAATTGTAGGTATTTTTCTCTCTTTTTTAATTCCCGCTATTCAAAACGTCTGATTCAACAAACGCGCTGTGGTCGGTAATCTGTAGCCCCAAAAGCATTTGAAACGCGTTAAAATAAAAATAGAATTAACCAGGAAAAGCGGCCCGCTAAAGGCCAGCGAGCGAAAGCGGTCGCGGGAGTGAAAAATACTTTCGTCTAATCCGGCGCTGATGGAAACGTCCAGCGGGTGAACGGGGAGCGTGCGGGCTGCAGGTGCAGAAGCGCGGCGCGGAGGTAGTTAAATTGTAATCCTCTTGTTACGGGATCGGCGGTGGCGGCGAGCCTGTGCAGAAGAAGAGCGTTAGCTCCGTAGTGGGGGAGCGAGTCGCTTGAGGCGCACGGATCAGCGAAGTGTGTGTGTATCAATTTGTGTGTGTGTAGGACGGAACAAATGCAGCGTTGCGGCTTTGCCACCTGCACGCACTGCGTGCTCCGCGCTCTGTGCTGCGTGCTCCACTGTCCGCCACGCCACTCGCCCGCCCGAGCAGCCACCGCCGACTGCCTGCCCGCTCGCCGCATCCACCCGCCCCTCTGGCCTTTGACGGTCGCCTTCTCGCCCACCGCACGCTGTTCTCCTTCCGCGTGCCTGCCTCACGCCCTTTCCCTGGGTCGGGTTTGTTCTGGGTTGAATGTTAAAATAATTCGTATTCAGAAGAAGGAAGTGTTGTGCGTAAAACAAAAGTAGAAACAGAGATACGACACAAGAAGGATGCTTGTTCAACACTATTTTCAATCCTTTTTTTTACACAGGAGGAGTGATTCTTATTTCACAATATTTTACACCCTCTCCCTGCCAAGGTTCGTTCTGGGATTGAAATTTAAGTAATTCCTATTAAGGAGAAGAAAGTGCGTATTACAAAACTAGAAATCGAGATGTTACACAGTAGGAGGGCTTCTTAACCAACAATAGTGTACACCCTTTATATCGTAACTTCCACGTGAAGGCAGATACTACGTTCTTTTTCTTTATATTTTTTTTCATTCGGGTCAACCGAGGACCATGGAAAAGAGGTAACAAAGTTGAACTTATATCGTGATGCAAAAAAAATGTTTAAACAAATTGATATTGACAATCTTTAATGACTCACAACTGCGAAGCAACACAAGTTAAACTAAATTTATGACGTTTCATCAATTAGAACTTTTTGATTGGTGGATAAACCTTCCCTACATCGGATGAAAGTTCAAAAAGGTTGTTGGCAAATTCCTTAAAATGAAGAGAATCACCACTGGTAAAACAAAGAATTTAATACCCAAATTAAATTTGCATTCCAAATAACTTGAACGGGAAATCAGCGGGCGAGCGGTGATCGGTGCTGTCCTTGTCGCACGCCGTGAGTTGGCTGTCTGCGTACACGACATTGACTCCGCGCTACTCTCACGACCTAGCTCTTTTAGTCCGTACAACGTGCAGCGGCCTAACGTCCATATTGCATTTATCAAATTTTCTACCTCAAATGTTCTTTGCGGTTTCTCATTAAAATAAATAGTGAAGTACCTACTGTAAATACCGACATCACAAATACACATCCGTCTTGATAATTACACGGTAAGCAACATTCAGGCGTGTTTCATACTCGAATGGAACTAATTGTAGCTGCAAAAATGACAAACGAAAGAATTTTCTTCGCGCCGATGTGATCAAGCTAAATCATAAACCTAAAAACGTTACAAAATTAAGAAGAAACTAGTGTCTGCTGCAGCACAAATGCTCCTAAAACACTCACAAAATGACGTTCCAAAATATATTACGCACTCTGCTCAAAAACAACAAATAAAATACACTCGTATATCACAGCAACACACTAAATATTTGAACGAGCACTGTCTTCACAAATAATTCAATAACATAGTAATATTTTACAGTACAACAGTTCTTTACATACCAGGTATATAAAAAAATTGGTAGTTAAATAACACAACACGTGAACAGAAAATTTTTATCGGCGGGCAGTCGCCTTAAGGAGGCATAACGTCAGATGAGATCAGCAATGTTATGTGTAGTGTCGCACTAAGAGAATTCCGTCGTGACTCACAGTACCAGAATAGGCGGAATAACACAATCAAATATTTGCATTTTCTCACTTCGATACAATTAGCTGATTGCCGGGTGGTAACCATAAGCCGCGTAGGCATATTTAAAATAAATCTACATTTACAATACAAAGACAATTACAGTATAAAAACAATTTACAATACTACACACTAAAGGAAATTACAACTACATCTACTACATATCGGTAAATATACACACAAATACACACAAACATATACACACAAACTTTTATATTATGCTCACTCACACGTACAAGAAATACACGAACGTACTTAATTTTGGCCATGCCGAAAACAGAAATAGAAAGGTGTACCTTAATTTAGATGTAAGTATAATATGGTTTTTAATTTCACTGAACAGATTCAAAAGAGCAAAATTTCAATTTCGGCAGTCCTTCGAATACCTTTTGACGAATAAATTGGTAGGGACAATACCACGAGTAGCATATTTTTAGAGGTAATCAGGATCTGCGAAGGTAAACAGTTTTAGATTCATTCTTCTTCCTCCCAACTTCACACACCTGCCCCAACTTCTCGCCGCAACTTTTTTCGGTCCCATATAAGTTTCATGGAGGAAAAAATTTTTATGATTATAAGAATAAATTCAATGCCTTGTTTACTTCTAACAGAATGTTTCGGGATCTCGAGTCTTTAGGTCTTGAAAACAATAAGTATTAATAATCAGTTTCATTGCATTTCGCGGGGCCGAAAAAAAATCCTCCTTCCCTTGTTGTATCATCAGTAGGTGAAGTTATCCACATTTCAGTGATTCTTCGACCACATTTCCAAATTTTGTGAATCAAACAACACGTTACAAACATTGTATCTGAATGTATGATGCATATAACAGCGTGTATATCAGGCATGAGAAAATCTGCTTGGACTGAATAACGGCAATTGATTATTACGTTGATCTTTAAATTGAAGAAAAATATTTTCAATTGGCCTCAGTTACCCTGTTTGGCAGTATATGGAAAGTAACTGCGCTATCCACCCCGATTGCGCTGTAGGCAGCGCTTAAATCCGTGTTCTGTCTCTCTTTGTGTCTCCTTGTCTCTCCCTTTCTCGACGAAAGCTCTGTCCGGTGGCGCCGGCCACGCAGCTCGCTCACCCCACCACCTACTCCAAACCACCCTCTCCCTTCTTTGAATCCCCACTACTCTGCAATTCGTAGTATCTAAACACAGGTAACTTCCCTGGCGAACACACCGACATCCCCCCCCCCATACATTATAATGTTCTTCCCTTCGCTTCTCTACTTACGCTCCTCCATCCTGCCTGAGCCTGCCGACAATGCCCCTACAATCCTCTCCCCCGCCGCCACTATTGTGGGCGTCCACAACCTCGGCCACCGCTCTAGTCCCTGTAATTATTCAACTCTCGCTGGTCGCTACCACATACCTAACCCCGGGTGTCCTCGTATTGCGTGTAATCCTGCGTGTGCGTCCGCAATTTATAAAATCCCATCTTCACACGTAATGAACGCGTGAAACTTCCACGAACCGCTTTATCTACAAACGTCTCACTTGGCTCATTTTAACCCAGGAGCCGTGATCTCTTTTCACTAACATCCTCTTTGTATTCTGTAGTTGGGTGTTTTGGAAAGATGCTTATATAGTCCTTTGCTTTGCTTCTGGACAGTAATTATAGCTTTTCTCATCATTTAACTCATATATTTGCTACTATTTTGAGGTTAACTATTTCAAGAAAAGTAATCCCCCGCTTGCCCTTGCAACCGAAACAACTTCAAAATTACTACAATTTTCAACACACCCTCCTAGCTCCTGGCATACTCTAATTGTGTTTTGCTCTATAATCATCGCGTGTTTCCACTAATCGTATCTTCCTATATAACAGTTAATAAACATACACTTTATTTGGGCTTTTCTGTCCCCAAAAAGCATTTGCACTTTCATGCTTTTTGTCACCTGCAGAATCACTTTCCCTTGCGTCCTACTCACAAAGATCTTCAAGTGACGATTCACTATCTGCTCTATTAGCTGTTTTCATTTAAGCTTTTATGTTGTCGCACACATTCCCTTGTACTCCATCATTCCCATCCATCCCAATTCTGGAACCCTAATGCGTTCACGCCACCTTTACGGCTCTTTCTTCTGTTCCGCTGTGCTAACGCACCTTCTCACTCTCCTCCCTTCTCACCCTTCGCTCCGTTCCACCTTTGCCAGCCGCGCGCCGACACGCCCTCGAAAGCTTTTACCGCGTAGGCGGCGGCGCAGGTTCAACTCGCTGTGGTTTGGGGCGCCCCGGAATATCCGCCACGCGCACCTGCGTCTCGTGAGAGAGCGCGAGGCGGTGCGCGGAGGGCGCCGGGGGGAAGGAGGCGGAGGTGTGGAAATGCGGGATGAGAAGCGGGACTGGGAAGCCGGGGATGGGGAACCGGAGGTAGGGTAGAAAGAAAGGGAAGGGGGTGGG